AGTATTCTCAGCTTCTAAAATAAACACTTTGATTTATAAATTAGAAACATTAGTTGGAAAAGACCTACTTATAGTTCTCAACTTCTACCTGTACTGAGTCAGAGAATGAATACATTTTGACATTACTACAAACACTACAGGTGTATAGATCTGGAAGGCCCCTTCAGCTGACTATAGAATATGCTGGACCATACACACTGTTACAACTAGCTATTGCTTTAAATGGAGGAATCTACAGCAACTAATTTAGTGTTATTCTTATCTTTACTCTGAACTATACTTGATTTTTACATTCAAACTCCAAAGCAACCCCACCAAGGAGGCAATTATGAAAGTTCACCAAGTTGAGCTGCAGGAACTCACACACTACTGGCATACACAGGCACAAACAACCACAGCAACCTCCCCAGATGTGAACACTGGCATACATCCACTTTCTTAGGGACACACAAGAGAAATGTACATGCATGTCTACATGTGGATGTGCTTGTGCATGGCCATGCTGTACTCACTACTCACAGGAATGAAAGCCTAGAATTAGTCAAGTGTTCAGGAATGGGAAAGCGGACCAGCAGCAGCAGCACAGCCACACAGTGGATGCAAAGGACCATGATCCCTCTGTGACACTCAGAAGGAGCCCAAGAGCCATGGTGCCTCAGTCAAGAGAGCAGCTCTCTGGAAGTACAGGACGGGGATCTGAGCGCAGTGACACCAGTGGTCTCTGTTAAAGCTCACCAGGGAAGTACGCAGAATCTGTGCCTTTTCTATCTCAATGACAATTATGAAAATATCTTGTCATAGATTTTAAAAAGCAACAAACAAGGCTTATCTTGCATTGAATGGTCTTTCCCTTACAAACTTGCTATAAGAAAAGCCTATAACAGGAAGAGAAAAATGACCTATTTTTCTCTGAAAGACTATTTTTATCAGCGTGTTTGCTGGCACTGCCTCACTGGGAGAAGATCTGTGTCTGAGCTGGTTGCAAATCATCCCAGCCTTTGCTGTCACAGAAGGCAGCACAGTGGCACTGGTCTCACTTAGCATCAGATGGCGCTCAGACGGAACCTGGCCAAAGCAGGCAGCAAGGTCACACAGGCTCACCATACCACACAGCAGGGCCTGGAAAGACGCGAGACAGCGTGGGTGAGGAGGCAGGCACGCCAGGATTACACCCCATCCTCCTGATAGCTGGGACTACAGTTATTACACCAGGATGTAATTAGAGGAGACACACATGCATCTTGTGGCCCATCACCTCCCACTTACATGCAGAGTGGACTGCCCTGAAGCACTCTGGGCACACTGCTATTGATACGATGCTTTAACAGAACCAAATACCAAACGGCCACAGTGAACTTCCCCTTAAATGTTTGTCCTCAAATTTTTGGAAATTTTTCTCCTTTTTGGCTTTTAACTTATGAAGGGGTGTCTCACCACACTGCCCAGACTGGATGCAAACTTCCAGTCTCCAGCAATATTCCTGCTTCAGCCTCCAGAGCTAAGAGTACTGCAGGCATGAGCCAAGGTGCCTGGCTTAGGAACTGACTTTTAAATAATTATTGTCTCTGAAAAAATTAATCTGTGACCTGCATTCTGTTAAGCATCTGTATCCCAATGTGTGTGTGTGTGTGTGTGTGTGTGTGTGTGTGTGTAGTACCAAGAATCAAACTCATGACCTTATACTTGGAAGGCAGGCACCATACCACTGAGCTATATCCCTGGCCCAAGCATCTGTATCTTTTGACAGCAGAACCCTGGAGAAAATCAGTACATCAACCAGCTGGACAGAGAGAGAGACTGAGGGAAGTATCTTGTACTGGAAATGTTAATGTCTAAAACTATCTCCACATGTATCACTTAGATCAAGTGGTAAGGTCCGATGGAGGTACTAGCAAATTCCACAGTTGCAGTTAGTAGGTATGTGGCCAGGAACACACCTGTAATCCCAGCACTCGGGAGGCTGAGGCAGGAAGACTGCTCTTTCTCTGAGGGTATTTAAGGGTCCACGTTGCTTAGTCTTATCTCATTGGTTTTGAACTTGTGAGATCAAGCAATCCCCTCCCTTCAGCCTCTTGATAACTGGGACTACAGGCATGCACCTAGGTATCTGCTGCCATAAGGAATGATAATAATCATTATTCTTTTCTTTTTAAATGTATTTGGTACAGGATCTCCCTACACAGCTTGGACTTACAGTGATCCTCCTGTTTTCAGCCTCCCCAGTGCTAGGATTACAGGCATGCACCACCACACCCTGTCTTGGTGGCCAGCTCAGCTCAGAAGCGGGGCTGGTGTGACATGTGGTACCAGGGATCAAATGCCAGTATTACGATTTTCTTAATTTTGTTTTTTATTTTTTGGCAGAACTGGGGATTGAACTCAGGACCTTGCACTTGCCAGGGAAGCGCTTATTCCACTGAGCCATCTCCTCAGCCCTATTATGATTTTCAAGAGAGGATTTAGAAGTCTGTTCTTTAGGGGCCAGGGAGATGGCTCAATGGAATAAGTGCTTCCCTGGCAAGCACAAGGACCTGAGTTCAACCCCCGGTTCCGCAAAAAAAAAAAAAAAAGAAAAAAAGAAAAGAAAAGAAAAAAGAAAGAAGTCTGTTCTTTGGAGAACTCAGACCAACTGTGCCTATCACATTTGGATCTTCTCAAGACTCCCAAGAGCTCCTCCACCTTAGTTTTAGTTCTGCAGGCCTTGGCCAGAGTATGTGTGTTCCACTTCAGTAAGCAGGCTCTGGCTCTGGGGAAATACACATTACAGCAGAATACCATACTATACAACTCTTATGGGGTGATCACTGCCAGAACTATATAATATATAAGACGCACTCATGTGTACTGACTGTTTTTAAGGTCTAGGGACTGAAACTAGAACTTTCAGAGTTATACCTTCAATTCTTTTTAACAATTTTTGACAAATATTGTCACTAAGTCCTTAAATTGTCCAGGCTGGGTTTGAACCTGTGCTACTCCTGCCTCAGCCTCTCAAAAAGCTTGGATTACAGGTGTGTACCACTATATCCAGCTAGTACTTCCTTCTAAAAAGGAAACATGTGATGTGAAAAGGAGTGGGATTTAAAAGTATTTTAGCTGGGCCTGGAGGGATAAGCCTAGAATCTTAGCACTCAGAAGGCTGAGCAAGCACCTAAAATGAAAAAAGGGCAGGAGAAATGGCTCAGTAGAATAAGTGTTTGACTGGCAAGTGTAAGGGCCTGAGTTCAAACCCCAGTTCTGCCAAAAAAAGACTGAGGATGGGCCAGCCTGAGCTATGCAAAAGATTCTGTCTCTAAGAGAAACAAACAGGTCAAGTGCAGTGGCACATGTTGGTAGTCGCCGCATTTGGGACAAGCTGAGACGGGAGGATCACTGTGAGGTTGCAGCCAGAATGGGATACAGAGTGAGGTGAAGGCCAGCCTGCACTGTATAGTGAGATCCTGACTCAAAAAAAGTGGAAAACAAAGTGAAGAGAAATAAACCAAGCAAAACGACATACTTTTTAGGTTTTAACAAT